ACTACTGCCACCTACAGTTAGAAAAACTGAAAGCATAAGTATTCTGAAAAATATTATATTAAAAGATTCCATTATTTGACAAAATTTTGGTTTTCATTATAAGCATATAGCTTTTAATCTTCTAAAATAAGGTAGCTATGAGCTTATACATGCAATCATAAGGTATATACATCTATAAGATAAACTGTAAACCAAGGGCAAGTATCCCTAGTTAAACCAGTTACTACTACACCAGTACCCACTGAAAATTTTTTCATATGACCTTTTGAAATTTCTACTATCATTAAGGTTTGGCTTCCAAAAGACTGTAAAGTTCCAAGATCAAGTAGAAAAAGAAGACTGTATTACATAGATAAGTAAGATGGGATCATGGATGAGAGATTCAAGACAATTTTTATTTTTATTTTTCACAGTGCTGGGAACCAAACCCAGAACCTTGGACATGCTAGCCAAGCACTCTACTACTGCACCATGCCCCCAACCCAGACAGTGTTGAAAAGTGACAAAAGAAGAGGAAAACCAAGGAATGGATGTACTCCATTCAAGTTGCTGTGACAAAATTTCTAACTATTTATAAGCAACATAAATTTATTGCTCACTTTCAGTACATGAGAAGCCCAACATCAAAATACCAGCAGATTCAGTGTCTGGTGAGGGCTTCCTTGCTTCTAAGATAGAGCCTTGTTGCTGTGTCCTCTCGAGGCAGAAAGGGCTAGGGTACTCCCTTCACCTTCCTGTATTAGGGTGTTTGAACCAAGCATGAGTGCAGAGCCCCTATGACTTAATCACTTTTTCAAGGCCCTCCTACTAGGATCACCAAAATGGGGATGAGGTTTCAACATTATTTTTGGAGGGTCACATTCCAATCATGGCATTATATCTAGCCCCACCCTATTCATGTCTGTCTCGCATATGAAATATATTCATTCCATTCCAGGTGTCCTGTAAATCTTAATTTGTCCTAGCATTCACTCAAAAAGTCTGGAGTGTCATCCAAATCAGATATAAGTGAGGCTAAAAGGTATATTCTGTCCTGAAGCTATTTCAGAGTCCCCTATTCTTCCTTTAAACTCCAGACATTCCTAATTTAAGAGAAACCATGTGGTTTCTCTGATAATCAATTAGACTATGAAAATCAGATAGTAACTGAACAAAATTCTCAAGATTTTCTGCCCTCAAATGTCTAGCTGTAAGAGCCTGGGAAATCAAAGTGCTTCCAAAGTACAGTGGTGGGACAGATGCAGGATAGACATTCCCATTCCAAAAAAGGAGACATGGGAAAGAAGAAAGGGATGGTAAGTCTCAACCAACCAGGCAAACACTAAATCGTAGGACTTGAGAACAATTTTCTTTGACTTGATGTCCTGCTCTGCATACATGAGTTTCTAGGGGACTCCATACCCATGGTTCCGATCTGCCGTGTGGCACAGTCCACAATGCAGTTTTCATGGGCTGGAGTCTTCTGCCTGTGGATCTCCTAGGTCAGAGTTGCATGCCATGGCTCTTACTGGTCTGATCTCAGAATGAATCCCCATGGCTCTACCAGGCACCAGGGGCTCTCTACAATGGTCACACCCCTCAAGTTGTTCTCTGCCTGGGCCCTGGGAGGGTTCTGGAAGCAGCCATGCCTCCACAACTCATGCATTCTGCACTTGGGGGAGTGGCACTATGTGTATACTGCCAGGCTCTTTGCCTGCTCCCTGTGGCATGCACTGCGTGTGGAATGGCTGAGGAGGGCTGTGACAGAAGGGGACAGACTTGAGGCAGTACCAGGCAGTGACTGCCAAGGTCCCCTGAGCCAGGGTAGACCATTTTTTGACATATTTTGTTCCCCAAGCCCTGGCTTGCTAGGCTTGTGATGGGAAAGGCAGCACAGATAATGCTTTCTGGTTCATTCTTCCACTGTCTTGACAGCACCAGGCTTCCACCACCCATACTCACCTCTTTATCAAAAGGTTGTAGGCCACACCTTGGTGTTCTATCCAGAAGAGCCAGAAGAGGGTTTTTTTTTTTTTTTTTTTTTTTTTCCATTCTTTAAAACATGGCCTATTTTTAAATTTTTCCAAATCTTTAAGTTCTGCTCCCCTTCTGATTATCAATCCCACTTATAATTCTTTTTTTATTTTTCTCTTTTCAGATTGTATAATAAGCAGCCAAAAGAAGCAATGCCTTACCCTCAACACTTTGCTGAATATTTAATCTATAGTATGGGGGCACACACCTATAATGCCAGCAGTTTGGGAGGCTGAGGCAGGAGAATTGTGAGTTCAAAGCCAGACTCAGCAACTTAGCAAGACTCTGTCTCAAAATTAAAAAAAAAAAAAAAAAAGGGTTGGGGATGTGGCTCAGTGGTTAAGAGCCCTTGGGTTCGATTCCCAGTACAAAAAAAAAAAAAGGATTTCTTCTGCCAAATACCTTATGTTACTGTTCCTAAATTCCTCCTTCCATAAATCTCTAAGGCCATGATGACAATATAATCAAATTCTTGGCCACTTTGTAACAAAAAATGGCCTTTCCTATAGTTTCTAATATCAAGTTCCTGGCTTCAATCTGGGACCTCATCAGAATGGCCTTTACTACCTAATTCTACCAACATTTTGATCACACTGCTCAGATAACTCTAAGCAGACTGAGGCTTTCTCCACAGCTCTCTTCTGGGCCTTCTCCAGAACCACTCTTTACTGTCCATTCATGGCAATACAGTCTTTTGCTAATGTATTTCTCTAAACTCAGCTAACCTCTGCCCACCAAAAGTTACAAAGCCTCTCGTAGAGTTTCAGATATTTATTATGACAGCACCCCATTTCTCACATCTGCTCTAACAAAATACTTTACTAGGTAATTTACAAAATAATAAAAACTTATTTGTCACAGTTCTGGAGAAGAGGAAGTCAGCATATTCAATGTCTGGGGAAGACACAGTGCTTCACAGAATGCACCTGCTTGCTGGGTCCTTATGTGACAGAGGGGGCTGGGGTGTTCCCTTCAATCTCTTTCCAAGGGCACAAATTCCATTCATGAACATAGAGCCCTTGAGACTTGGCCACTACACAGTGGTTCCACCTCTTAACATCACCACAACAGGGATTATTAGGCTTCAACATGAATTTTTAAGGGAGATGTTCAGAACATCGGGATTCTCCCACAATTAGGAAACCAGAGAGAAAGTCTGGAGGGAGACAAATCAAAGCCAATTTTCTTTTGCCAAATCTCTTCTGCTCCTTCTGCCCTTTGCTGTGTTGATCCTGATGTTTATGGTAACTGAGTTAACAGTACACTTGACTACTTATCATTGTCAGAACTGAACTGTGTAAGAGTTTACATGCACACATGTTCAAATTGACAAGGGAAGAAAAGAGGAATTCTAATTTGAATCAAAGCAGTATCAATTAAAATACCAAAAAAAAAAAAAAAAAAGTCTCACAGAAGATTATTGTAAGGGTCAGACTCCTAAAAATCTGACTACATTTAATTTTAGTGAATGTCTTATTAATCTCCTTTATCTCATTTTCACCTACTGTAGTGGCTGGGAAGGGTACTGCTTAACAAATGTTTGAAAATATACCCTGAGCTACCTTGCAATGGGGATACTTATTTGAGCTTTAGTCTCCAAGTCATCTGGAGCTAGATTACATTCTTCACATACTTACAGTAAATTGTGTTTTATCTTTAGCTGGAATTCTGCAGATGATTAACAGTCCTCAACTGACCAAAGAAAATATCATGTCTATAATGTCTTAAAGATTTCTAAAATCATTATGTTTTTTTGTTTGTTTGGGTACTGATGATTAAATCCAGGGGTGCTCTACTGTTGAGCTATATCTACAGCCCTTTTTATTTTGAGTACCGGTCTCCCTAAGTTGGTGAAGGTTTCACTAAAATGCTAAGGCTGGCCTTAAAATTATGATCTTCCTGCCTCAGGCTCCCAAATCTCTGGGATTACAGAGTTGCTAGAATTATAAGTATACCACCACACCCAGCACCATTAAGTATGTTAAAAGATATGTTTGTATAATTAACTTTGCATTAAACACCGTCCACTGTGCTACATATTATGTGTAATTTACTTTTTTTGCTCTATAGAAGAAAAGATGTACATACTGACAATGAAGAATTATTCTTCAAATGTATAATAACTTTTATCTATGGTGGGGAGAGGCCATTTAAATTAGGTATAGTTTTGGAGGATTGAATACATGCATCTCTGTTTATAAATATGGTTTCCTAAAAGTGTTATATACTTAAAGCTCTAGCAGAATTAACAAATATCTTTCGAGAAATAGTTAAATATTTCCTATTTTTCATCTATTATTTCTATTGTGAAAGATGAAAATGAATTGATGTGTTATTTTTCCCCAACTGTCATTTCAAATTCAAAGCTCCAGATATGGATTAAAATACTGGTTAAACATTCAAATTATGAGACTATCTAGTTAAGGAAAAAGATTCTAAGAAAAACAAAAAAGAATAAAGATATCAAACACAACAGATTTCAAATCAATTTAAACAACTAAAGCCAAGAGAAGGCTCACACAGGGGGCAAAGGCTTAATATTACACATCCACAGATTCCATTAGGTGAGAATGCAACATGGAAGAACACAATGCCTTTTTGTCAAGATATAATAAGTTACATTCAGATAAAAACAAAATGTTTTTAAAAAGTGAAAGGGATGACTGAAATTAACTGGAATATTTGATCAAATTTCTTCAGTATAATTATCTTTTTTTTTTTTTTTGTACCGGAGATTGAACTCAGAGGCACTCAACCAAGAATCATGTCCCCAGCCCCTTTTGTATTTTATTTAGAGAGAGGTTCCCACTGAGTTGCTTAGTGCCTCTCTTGCTGAGACTGGCTTTGAACTCACGGTCCTCCTGCCTCAACCTCCAAAGCCACTGGGATTACAGGTGTGTGCCACCACACCCAGCTTACAATTATATTTTAAGTTAGTCTTTCCTAAGCAAAGTTTCAATTCAAACAAAGACTGATGAATTTCTTACCATTTGGGGTCCAACATTCACATTTATTGGTCCTAAGGTTTTTGGTAAAATTTTTGTTGGTGAGTTGGCGCTGGAAACTGGAAATGCAACAAATGATATGTTACCTGAAATGATATCAAAACATTAAGTCAGTCTTGCAACATCAAGTCCACTGCTATCCATAAACAGCCTCAGTGGTGAGCCACTTTACTTAAGTAATTTAAAATTACCTTAAGAGCATATTATAAACAAGAAGACTTACTGGAAACCCATAGTATTGTTATAATGAATATATTAGTTCTGATGAATAACTAATCAGTTATGTTTTACAGAAAATCTATAAAATAAATAGTTCCAGTCTATTGGATTTTTAGTCTTTTAGAGGAAAGAAATACTTCGAATACATTAGTACAAATCATAGTTCACACTGAAAGTTGAGAGATCTTTAGCAGACTCAGAGAATAAAAAAAGTATGATGTATCAAAAGTAAAATAAAGATTCAAATTCCTTTACAGTAAAAACATTTATACCAAAAGTGCATATATTTTCAAAATGTCAAATTGGTAGCTTCCCCCCACAAACACACTTTCATAACAGTAAAGAAAAAAGCCAGGCACAGTGGCACAAGCCTGCAATCTGGGCTACTCAGGAGCCTGAGGCAGGAAGATTCCAAGTTCAAGGTCATCCTGGGTAATTTAGCAAGACTATCTCAAAACACAGAGGGCAGGGAATATTAGCTCAGTAGTAGAAAGCCCCAGGGTTCAATTTCCAATACCTCAAGTAAAAGCAAAATATATATTTTTTAAAATGATGCTAATTATTGATGCTGCAAACAGTAAAATCTATATTTTTAAGCGATTTCAACACTTTACATTTCAAATTAATATAGCAAAGTAGTAGCCAAAAAAAAAAAAAAAATCCCCAAAGTGAAAAGCCAATTTTCTAAACTACAATATCAAATACTAAACTCCTCTGGACAAACTTTAGTTTATCAGTGTTTCTTCTAGAAGATGCCAGTGTAACTGAAGAAAAGGAGCTTACCCAGGAAGTAACCGAAAGAGGACAACACTGAAACCGGGGGAAATGAGCGCTTAGACCAGAACTAGAAAGACATGGTCTTCTCAGTCTCTTCCTAAGATGGCCATGTCCTTACTTTTCCAAAGCTTGACCACACTCCTTAATCTCCTTTTTCACCTTGTAACTCTCAGCAGATTCCTGTACCTCCCATAGGAAGGAAATCAGGCCATCAGGCAAAATTACTGCTTGTAATTTATTATTAGTAGTAGTATTCTATTTCTCTCTGAATGGAAATGTCTCATAGAAATGAGGTCTTTTCTCTCTGTTCTATGCTTTATACTGGTGGGTGTGACTTCACCCATCAAGGATGCACTCTATCATGAATTTTCAACTATTCCATTAGCTCCTTCCTTCCCTTCAGTTTCTCTCTCTGTTCATTTGATACTATAGATCATTTCCCTCAAATTTCATATTAAAATACAATTCTTCACCTTTCTCATGTCCAATCAGCAAGGCTTAGTACTCAAATCTGCCTCTCCTTCAGATTCTCACTGATACATGACTGAGCAGTGGCATATTATCTTCATCTACACAGTGATGAAATTTAGAAAACAACCTTCACTCAACCCTTTCTTCTTTCAAATGACCACCACATTCTATTTGTTATCTCCTTACTCTGGTTCCTTTATGCTGCTGGAACTTGTTTAATCTGGAACTTCATAGTATATGGTTTGGATATAGCAACCCTCCAACACAGTGGTTCACAAACCCTGGCTGTGATCCCACTAGACAAGCAATAACCAATGCCTATGCTCGGGATCTGAGGTGAACTTGGGCATGAAACTGGTAAAGTTCTCCAGATGATTCCAACGTGCAGTCAGGGCTGAGCACCAATGCTCTCACTGGATATCCTACCTCAAGCAGTCTTCCTTACCACCCAACACATCTCTAACAAGCCAGTCTTTCAACTGGCAAAACTGTTCTGATACTCTACTAACTCAAGGTCTTCAAAGACTCTACACTTCCTAAATACCTCTAAAGGCTCCTAAAAATGACACAAAAGCTCCAGTCAAAGATTTCAGCCCTGTCTCTTTCCCAGCTTCACCTTCAGCTACTCCCTTCACATGCACCCTGCACTTCAACCAGATCAAACACCGTGCAATTCCACCAAGGCCCCCAGACAACCTCCTAGCTTTGGAGTACAACTTTCCCTCTGCTGGGAAGACCCTTTCTGCTAGTCAATGACTGTGAGCACTTCAAGCTAAATATACAACTGTCCCTTGATATCTGTGGGGGCGAAAGGCTCCAGGACCCCCACCTGCACCCCATGGATACCCAAATCTATGATGCTCAAGTCCCTTTTATAAAAAGGCACAGTAATCGCATTTAACCTGCCCATACCCTCCAGTATACATTAAATCATCTCTCGATCGTGCACAATGCCTAATACAACGGAAATGCTATGCAAATACTTGTTGTACTATATTATATAGGAAATGATGGCAATTTTAAAAGGTCTGTACATATTCAGTATAGACCTTTTTATTTTTTCCAAATATTTTCAGTTCATTGTTAGTTGAACCTGTGGATACAGAGGGTCGACTATATTTCATATCATTTTCTGGGAGATTATTATGTCTGTTCCACAGTCTGTTCCACAGCTTCCTGGCTTCCAACACACACACACACACACAAACACACACACACGCATAAAATTTTAAAAAATTAAAAATTCATATATAATATGTATAAATGTCAATGCTTAAGACAACAGCGTGAAATAGATTCTATTAGAGAAGTTGAGAGACATTAGATCATTTGTTACAAGATCCCACAACTTGTGAACATCATGGTTCCACCTCAAAATTCCATCTCCACCTTCTCCTTAAAAGCTGTCCCCAGCCTCTGTGGCCTAAGTCCTGGAGGTCCCTCTTCACGCTTCTCATAAAACCCACTGCTTACTTGCAGATCTCCTGTCAGTGGGCTAGGTTTCTAAGCTTGGTATCCCAGCACCTAGTTTAGTCCCTCACACAAAACAGGTGCATAAAAATTTAAAAACTATTTGATCAGCATAGTTTGGAATGACTACCTTTCCTAATCTGGATGCCAAAATTCTTGTAATGCTGTCCACATCAAACACTTTGTTGTTTTTCTCAATAGAAATCATAACTCGGAGTTTGAAATCAACTAAAATGCTACGTCCTTAATTTTATTTTAAAAACATGACTGAATACCTGGTATTATCAAATAAAGATTCCCTGTAGTGTAACTGTGCAACCGAATTTTTTTTTCATAAAAAGTGTATCTTATCATTTGCTAAAGATTTTTAAGGTTATTATTAAAACTCCCCCCAAAATGGTATTCATCTGTTGAAGAACCCACATAAGTGGAAAATAATAATCTGTGAGTCTGGTGGGAGTAACTGCAGTTATGGCATTGAGAGACATGAGCCCCAAACTTGATTCCAGGCAGATCCACCACAGATCCCTGTAGGGAAGAATAAAGCCCTGAAAAGGTGTAGCCCTCAGCTGCTAGTTTTTAAGTGAACCTACTGCTGCTGAGTGTTTAAGATGAGATCATCTCTGCTACACTACATCAGAAGCAAAAGTAAAAACTTGCAAAAAGAATGAAGAAGAAACACAAAAAAATAAGTAAGGTTAGGGAACAGACTGATCCTACTTAAACCGACACTAAAAGAAAACAAAGACTATAAATTTTTAGATAAAATAAAAAGCATTAAATCCAGAACTGAAAAGGAAAAGCATTAGTCCAGTTAATACCAAAAGAATTTAGAGAAAACTTAACAAATTTGACAAACTGATTCTAAACCATATGTGAAAGAGTAAAGGCAGAGAACGGCCAAGGAAAATTTTTAAAGGAATAATGGGGCAGAGATGAACTTCAGCCAACCAGATCTCAAAAGGATTACAAAGTTACAGTAATTGAAATAATGTGGTACTGTCAAAGCAGATAAAGGAACTGACAAAACAAACTGAAGTCCAGAAATTACTCTATTCACATATGAAAAATTTATATGTAGTAAATTAATATCTCAAACTGATGAAGAAAGAGCAAATTACTAGGACAAGATATTGTCCATGTGGACAAAAGAAACTTCAGGTTTCAGTTTCTCACCTTTTTACAAAAATAATTTGATTTTAATAAAAATATCAAAAGCCATAAAAGCATTTGAAGAAAGACATATAGTATTTTTATAATTTGGGGATAAGGATGTTATAGAATTTAGAAATAGTAAAAGATTGATATATTGATCACTTTAAAACAAAAGTTTTGCCAGGCTAAGTGTAATCCCAGAGGCTCAGGAGGCTGAGGCAGAAGGATTGTGAGTTCAAAGCCAGCCTTAGCAAAAGCAAGGCAGTAAGGGCTGGGGTTGTAGCTCAGTGGTAGCATGCTTGCCTAGCATGTGTGAGGCACTGGGTTCAATCCTCAGCACCACATATAAAAATCAATAAATAAAATAAAGGCATAAAAATACAATAACATTATTTAAAAAAAAAGCAAGGCACTAAGCAACTCAATGAGACCCTGTCTCTAAATAAAATACAAAATTGGGCTGGAGATATGGCTCAGTGGTTGAGCATCCCTGAGTTCAATCCCTGGTTCCCAAAAAATAAAAAGTTTTCTATATAGCAAAGAACCAACAGACTTCAATAAAGATGGTCAAGCTGGTAAAGAAATTTGCGATTCATATATCATTACTATCCTTTAAAAATTATTATTATCCTTTAAAAAATTATTTAACCTATCCTTATAAATCAGTAAGAAAAAGACAATAATCCAACATGAGAATATCTCAGTACACAAAGAAATACAGCGCCAGCAATGGCATAAGAGGTGCTCAACTTTACTCAGAAGGACACATTTAAATAGGTGACAAACACCCAGTCACCTGAAACTTCAGCCTGTTGCAAGAGGTCAACCAAATCAAGTTCAAACAATTTTTCCTAATGTACTTGGCCTTAATTCATAACCCCTTTGCAGCAGAAGCCTGACACTGCCCCAAAACTAATTCCTGGCACTTGGTATATTTATTAAAAACAAAAATTTTAAGAGTTGCCTGGATTTTAGTTCTGAAATTTTCCTTAAT